AGGGCGTGGGAGAGAAAATGAGAAAACAAGCTACCAGGTCCAAGACTTGAATGTGGTAGGCCATGTGGGAGTCCAGCGCCTTAACCACCATGTCACCTGCTGGCCCCTTCTAGCTGATTTTTAATCCTACTTTTGTCCTACACATCTTAGCATTTTTTCTTTTTAGGTTTTTGCCATAGGGAGTGTGTGCTTCCTGGAGAGAGACAGAGAGAAGGAAACTGAGAAATCACCCCCCAGTGGGGTTGGCTATGCCACATTCCCTTCTCCATTTTTCTCCTGGGATTTTGGGCACACATGCTCATGGGCCTGGCATGATTTTCAAGCCACCGGCTCTGGGACTTGAACCATAGTCAGCCATATGGGAGTTCAGTGCCTTAACCATACCACCTGCCCACATCTTTGTTATCTGTTCATTCTGTCCATTGTTTATTCCTCTACTATTATGCTATCTTTTTTTTTTTTTTTTTTTTTTGGCTATAGGGTGTGTGCGCTCTCCCAAGAGACACAGAGAGAGAGAGAAAGGGAGAGAGAGAGAGAGAAAGTGAGAAATCATCCCCTAGTGTGAATGCCTACACTGCAGTCCCTTTGCTAGTCTCTTTGGGATTTTGGTTATGCATTCAACACATGGTCTGGGACTTAAACTGTGCAGTCAGCCATTTGAAATCTAGTGCTTTAAATCTCTATGCCACCTTGGTTCATGTTATCTTTTTTTGTTTGTTTTTTTTAAGAGCAGTTTTTGCTATAGGGCACATGTGGTCACCAGAGACACACAGAGACAGAAAATGAGAACTCACCCCCCAATGAGAATGGCCATGCTACAATCCCTTCTTCATTCTCCTCTTGGGATTTTGGGCATAATACACATGCGCCTGGCTTGAGTTTGAAGTCTCCGGGTCTGGGACTTGAACCGTGGTAGACTATGTGGGAATTTAGCAGTATAACTACTGTGCCATCTGCTGGTCATAGCCCATGCTATTTTATTACCATGGTTTTAATATAAACCTTACTATCAGGTAGGGAAATAGCCCCCCTTTTTTTACTTATAAAATGGTCTCAGGACCAGCAGTTAGCGTAATGGCTATGTCGCTGGACTCCCATGTAGTCGACCGCGGTTCGTGTCTCGGACCCGGTGGCTTAAACTCACGCTGGGCTCATGTG